CCCGGGTGCATTGGCAGGAGAGCTGTATTGGCAGCTCAGTGTAGCTGGGAAAACAGGCACTCTTATACCAGATGTGTGCATCCCCAGCAGCAGTTTGACCCACAGTACCACAATACCCACCACTAAATAATTATTTCAATTTTAGGTTTTTGGTGAATCAAACCTATGATTATAAAGTAAATTAAAATTATTCTTTGCAAAGATTAATGAAAAGAAAAGGAGTTGGATGAGAGAGAGGAGGAAGGAGGGAAGTACGGTTATCCTCTTAGAACTGTACCTATGAAATACATGAAATCTGTTCTCATTATATTAAAAAATGAAAAAGAAATATATTAACAAAGAAGGAAATGGAAAAAAACTTAAGGTTTTTAACAAATATCATGATGAAAGAAAAAATCTTTCATGGAAAAATAGCACATAAGAGTACCTGAAAACTCTCTCATTATAAAACATTTCAAAATGCAGGGTAAAATTTAAGATTTAAAAACAAAATTAATAAGCTTTATGAATATCAATTTTAAGTTTACAGAAAATTGAGTCTATAGTGCAGAGTTCCTATTTCTACTCCCCTGACAAGCCCTTTCCTCTCCTCCCTTGTATATATACTCCCTATAATTAGTATCTTGCATTTGGTGCAGAACATTTACTACAATTGGTGAACAAATACTGATATATTATTCTTACCTAAAGCGCACAGTTTACATTAGGATTCACTCTTTATGTAGTACCTCCTATGGGTTTTGACAAATGATAATGATATGTGTTTACTATAACAGTATCCTACTGCTCTCAAAATCCTCTTTGCTTCACCTGTTCATGCCTCATGCCTCCTTCCCTTCATCCCTAACCGCTGGTAACCACTGATCTTTTTATTGTCTCCATAGTTTTGCCTTTTCCAGAATATCACATAGTTGGAATAACACAATATGTAAAGTCTTCAGGTTTACTTTGCCTTTTTTTTAAACTTTTATTTAATGAATATAAATTTCCAAAGTACAGAATATGGATTACAATGGCTTCCCCCCCATAACGTCCCTCCCACCCGCAACCCTCCCCTTTCCCACTCCCTCTCCCCTTCCATTCACATCATGATTCATTTTCAATTCTCTTTGTATACAGAAGATCAGGTCAGCATACATTAAGTAAAGATTTCAACAGTTTGCTCCCTCACAGAAACATAAAGTGAAAAATACTGTTTGAGTACTAGTTATAGCATTAAATCTCAATGTACAGCACACTAAGGACAGAGATCCTACATGAGGAGTAAGTGCACAGTGACTCCTGTTGTTGACTTAACAAATTGACACTCTTTGTTTATGGCCTCAGTAATCACCCTAGGCTCTTGTCATGAGTTGCCAAGGCTATGGAAGCCCCCTGAGTTCACCGACTCTGATCATATTTAGACAAGGCCATGGTCAAAGTGGAAGTTCTCTCCTCCCTTCAGAGAAAGGTACCTCCTTCTTTGATGACCCGTTTTTTCCACTGGGATCTCACTCGCGGAGATCTTTCTTTTTTTTTTTTTTCTCCCAGAGTGTCTTGGCTTTCCATGCCTGAAATACTCTCATGGGCTTTTCAGCTGGACCTGCATGCCTTAAGGGCTGATTCTGAGGCCAGAGTGCTGTTTAGGACATCTGCCATTCTATGGGTCTGCTGTGTATCTCACTTCCCATGTTGGATCATTCTCTCCCTTTTTGATTCTATCAGCTAGTATTTGCAGACACTAGTCTTGTTTATGTGATCCCTTTGGTTCTTAGCCCTATCATTATGATCAATTGTGAACAGAAATTGATCACCGGGACTAGTGAGATGGCATTGGTACATGCCACCTTGATGGGATTGAATTGGAATCCCCTGGTATGTTTCTAACTCTACCGTTTGAGGTAAGTCAGCTTGAGCATGTCCTGAATTGCACATCTCTTCCATCTCTTATTCCCACTCTTATATTTAACAGCAATCACTTTTCAGTTAAGTTTCAGCACTTAAGAAGAATTGTGTATTGATTACAGTATTCAACCAAAAGTATTAAGTAGAACAAACAAACAAAAACACTAAGATTTGTTTGTTTGTTTATTTGAAAGGCAGCATTACAGAGAGGCAGAGTTAGAGAGAGAGAAAGGTTTGCTTTCTTTTAACTTTTAACTGCATAGCTCACTTGCATGAAATAGGGAAATTAAATTTCCAGCACTAAAAAAGTAAAAGTAAGGAGGCTGGTCTTGTGGTTTAATGGGTTAATCTACCCCCTGCAACACTGGCATCCCATTTGGGTGCAGGTTTGAGACATGGTTGCTCCACTTCTGATCCAGCTCCTTGCTAATGTGCCTGGGAAAGCAGCGGAAGATGGTCCAACTCCTTGGGCCCCTGAGCCCACGTGGGAGGCCTGGAAGAAACTCCGGGCTCCTGGTCAAACTGGCCCAGCCCTGGTTGTGCAGCCATTTGGGGAGTGAACCAACAGATGGAAGACATTCTATCTCTCTCTCTCTCTGTCTCTCTCTCTCTCTCTGCAACTCTGCCTTTCAAGTAAATAAAAAATAAAACTTTTTTTAAAAAAGGAAAAAGTAAAAGAAATTTGAAAAATAACAGAGAGGAGGAAGTGATACTTTGGTTCACTGTCTATGTGTCTGCATGTGAATGCATGTATGCACAAACTCGAGTTTTAGAAATGAAGTGACTGAAGTTAACAATCGTTTGAGGAGGAAGATGCATGCCTTCAGTTCCCTGGATCAAGGTATTGAGATTCTTTCAGAAAGCTAAAACCCACCAAGTGACAAGTTCCCAGTGAAAGATTAGATAAACAGATATGCCTATCACTGAAGGAGGAATAACCAGGTAGCTTGCCTTTGTTGGCCTGATATCTGAGTGGAAAATAGAAAAAGGCTTCTCTTAGAGAATTCGTAACAGTCCCTGCCTTCAAATGGATTTAGGCTGAAAGATTAAATTATCTGTATAAGAAGCACAGTTCCCAAGTCATCCAGCAAAGGTGAATGCAGATTCTCTAGAGGAAAATTCCTGCAATAAATACAGCACCTTTGCAGATAAAACTCCACTGAATGTATGCTCACAGACCAAAATCTGAAAAATCTGAAAAAAATGAGTCTAAATCATTTGTAAGTTGCAAGTGAACATATGAATTATGTTACTTAATGCTTTTGACAGAGAAATCATGAAAAAGTTTCCACCAAAATTTAAAAAGTTAGAATAAACTGTATCTTAGTGTTTTTTTCTCCAATAGTTCCATCTGAAAATTGCATTAACTTACTTTTTTGGAAAAAAATATTTATTTATTTATTTGAAAGGCAGAGTCAATGGAGGCAGGGGGAGGAGAAAGAAACAGAGCTCTTCCATCCACCAGTCCACTCCCCAAATGGCCACAAAAGCCAGGACTGGGCCAGGCAGAAGTCAGGAGCCTCATCTGGGTCTCCCACATGGGTGACAGGGGACAAAACACTTGGGCTGTCTTCTGCTGCATTTCCAGGGCTATCGTCAGGGAGCTGGCTTGGAAGTGGAGGAGCCAGGATATGAACTGGCACCTATGTGCGATGCCAGTGCCACAGGTTCCTGCGACCTGGCTCCTGGCTTCTGTCCATCCCAGCCCCAATTTCTGTGGGCCTTTGAGAGTGAACCAACAGATGGGAGCTCTTTGTTGGTCTGTCTGTCTCTCTATGAAGCAGACAGGAAAAAAAATTGCCAGAACATGGAATTAAAAGTATGAGGGAGGGACTGGTGCTGGGGTGTAACAGGTTAAGCTGCCAACTGAGACACAGTATCCCATTTGGGCACCAGTTTGAGTCCCGGCTGTTCCCACTTCCAATTCAGCTCCGTGCTAATGTGCTTGGGAAAGCAGCAGCAGATGGCCCAAATGTTTGGGCCCCAGCCACCCACATGGGAGATCCAGAAGAAACTGGCTCCTGGCTTGGGTTTGGCCCAGCCTTGGCCGTTACAGCAAATGGAAGATGTCTCTCTCTCTATCTCTCCCCGCCCTTCTCTCTGTAACTCTGCCTTTCAAATATATAAAATAAATCTTAAAAAAAAATTATGAGGGTCTGGAGTTGTGGCAGAATGGGTTAAACTGAGGCTTGCAATGCTGGTATCCCATATGAGCACCTATTTAAGTCCCTGTTGGTCCACTAACATTCCAGCTCCTTGATAATGTGCCTGAGAAAGCAGTTTAAGATGGCCCAAATACTTGGGCCCCTGAAACCCATGTGGGAGACCTGGACCATGTGGGAGTTCCTGGGTCTCAGCTCCCAGTTTCAGCTATTTGGGGAGTCATTGCAGCTATTTGGGGAGTAAACCAGAAGGTATAAGATCTCTTTCTCTCTCTAATTCTGCATTTCGAATAAATACATCCTTAAAAAGTGTTATGAAACTATTTTGTTGAAAAATTTGAAGTCCATGCAGCTTTTTTTCTTTTTTTAATTTAATTTTATTTATTTATTTTGACAGGCAGAGTGGACAGTGAGAAAGAGAGAGAGACAGGGAGAAAGGTCTTCCTTTACCATTGGTTCACCCTCCAATGGCTGCTGCGGCCAGCAAACCGCGCTGATCTGAAGCCGGGAGCCAGGTGTTTCTCCTGGTCTCCCATGCCGGTGCAGGGCTCAAGGACTTGGGCCATCCTCCACTGCACTCCCGGGCCACAGCAGAGAGCTGGCCTGGAAGAGGGGCAACTGGGACAGGATCCGGCGCCCCCACCGGGACTAGAACCTGGGGTGCCGGCGTCGCAGGCGGAGCATTAGCCTATTGAGCTGCGGCGCCGGGCTCCATGCAGCTTTTTTCATAATGTGCATTTTCTATGTATTCTGGAAAAAATTTTTTGCAACAAACCAAAATAAACTATACTTTTAATTCCACTTTTCCATGAGCTTGCTGGAGGGCAGCCATATTTGCTGGTACTCATTATGTGCTTTGATTAAATAAATCATTATAAGACAAAAAGGGGAATGAGATATTTACAGGAACATATAAAGTATAGGACAGTAAATGTTATAAAAGGAGAGATAACATCATTAAAGTATAAAGGAAGAAAGTAGCCTTCAGAAACTAGGCCCAGGCCTTGTATTTTTTTAATAATGCTAAGATAGCACACAAAGAAGAGTGATTGCACCAAACTGCAAAGACTGGGTGGACCTCTTTCTTAATGTGCAATGTCCTTTGTCTTAAAATTTGGTGCCATATGTAGAAAAAAAAAGAGAAAGAGGAAAATGTCTTTTTGGTTACATAAAATGTTGTTTTATATACCAACTATTAAATTCTTTGCTGATAAGAAGATATATATTGAAAAAGAATAATAACTGGGGCCGGCTCTGTGGCATAGTGGGTAAAGCCCCTGGTTCAAGATCCAGCTGTTCCACTGTTGATCCAGCTCTCTGCTAATGGCCTGGGAAAGCAGTGGAAGATGGCCCACTTGGGCCCCTGCATCTATGTGTGAGACCCGCAAGAAGCTCCTGGCTCCTGGCTTCGGATCAGCGCAGCTCCGGCCGTTGTGACTATCTGAGGAGTGTACCAGCGAATAGAAGACCTCTCCCTGCCTCTCCTTCTCTCTCTGTGTAACTCTGACTTTCAAATAAATAAATAAATCTTATAAAAAGTAAAAGAATAATAACCATACTTTTACTAGCTGGGACAAATGCTGTGATAATTGGTAGATAAATCAGAAAAGAATGTATACTCAAGTATTTTGGCTGTAATAAATATTTTCATATCACTTGTTTTATCAAATTTATTGTTTTCACATTAATTTCTTTAAAATCAAATATATATTTGTCTTTAATAACATGTCATTTTATTAAAGGCTTTAGGAATTTTCTGAAACAATATGTCTTATTTCTTCTATTATAGAGATCTCAAAAATTTTTTTGAATGGCATACAAGGTAATTCAAATGGATAAAAAGTTTTAGTGTATGAAAAACACAAGTTAAGAGCATTTTTGTTATTTTTCAACTCATGTCAGTATTTCCAAAGAATAAAAATTATTTTTATTGTTATGTGGCTATCATAATGATTTGTTATTCAATTAAATAAAATCTCCCTCCCCCTTTGAAGGCAAAGATAATTGACAATGAACCGAGAATAGTAGGGGGTTGTTACTCATTGCGACTGAAGACAGTGATGAGAAAGAATGGCGAGTAACTGAAATAAGATGTACTTTAGAACTTGACTCCTAATATTAACTGCAAATAGAACTCAGGTTGTAAGTCAGAGGAGATGGTACAAACTAATTTTTAAAATTATTTTTAAAAAATGGAATTTAGAAAAATCTATACATAGAGTGATAACAGCTGAACTATCTAATAGTTCCACTAGCTCTCTCATTATACCGAATTAATACATTTTTGGAATTTATCTAGGATTTATATAAGTGCAAACTTAAGCCTCTACTCACCGAACTTTCAACTGTATCAGAAGCATTATCTTCCACAAAATACATTCCACATTTACCTGAAAAAATAATTGGATAGAGTTTTAAAAATTATGTGTGGAGCCGGTACTGTGATGTAACAGCTTGGGCTGCTGCCTGTGGCACCGGTGTCCCATGTGGTTATCAGTTCACGTCCTGGTTGCTCTACTACTGATCCAGCTCCCTGCTGATGCATCTAGGAAAGCAGCGGAAGATGGCCCAAGTGTTTGGGACCTTGCACCCTGTGGGAGACCTGAAAGAAGGTCCTGGCTCCTGGCCCATACCCAGGCACTGCAGCCATTTGAGGAGTAGACCAACAGATGGAATATGTCTCTCTGTCTTTGTCTCTCTCTCTCCCTCTTTCTCTCCCTGTAACTCTGCCTTTCAAACAAATAAAATAAATCTTAAAAAAAGAAAAAAGTTTTGTGCACTATTACCTTACATGGCTATAAGCTTGACCTCTGGAGTTTTGTGGCCTGAATTTGAATCACAACACCTAATAAACAGTTCCTTGAACTTAATAAATATCTAAACTGGTGTTGTGGAACAGTGGGTTAAGTTGCCACTTGCAATACTGGCTTCACATATCACAGCACTTGGTTAGAGTACCAGCTGCTCTGCTTCTGATCCAGCTCCTGGCTAATGCATCTGGGAAAACAGCAGAAGATGGCCCAAGTACTTGGACCCCTGCCACCCATGTGGGAGACCTGGATCAGTTCCTGGGTCCTTGCTCTGCCCTGGTCTAGCTCTAGCCACTGGGGGCATTTGGGGAGTTAATTAGTGAATGGAAGATTCTCTCTCTGTCTCTCTTTCAAAAATAAATAAATAAATCTTTTAAAAAACAATTATTTAAAAATAGTATATATGAGAGCTTAGGCAAGTTTCTTAAGCTCTCTGTATCTTAGTTTCCTTATTTAAAAAAAAAAGGGAAAGAAAAGAAAGAAGACAGGAATGTATTCAGAATAACTGTGGAAATTAGAATATATGAAAAATAGTGCCTGATTCAGAACTAAACAAATGTTAGCTATTTTTATTATTATCTTTATATTATGATTTGCTTTATTTTTGTCTATCCCAACTGAAGTTAAGTGATAAACAAAATTTCCTAGTAAAGAGGGATCCTTAATTATTTTACTGATTGAGAAACTCAACTGAGAGAATTGGCCCTAAAAATAGATCCCCTTTTAAAAAAAATTAAAAAACAGCATCCTAAATTGTCTGCTGCTAACACATTTCCCATGTCACGTTTCAAAATGTTAAGAATTTCTCCAGGACTATGCCACCTACATGCTGGTCACATGTAGTTGAGTGCTGGGTGGACCAAGAAGGGCAGTATCTCCATCTTGTTGGACTTTGCCAACAAATTTGAATCTCCATGTGTTGTACCTTGGAGGCTGTAACTTTATCCTATGGCAGTGATTCTTAAGTTTGAGGGTGCATCTGAATCACAGGAGGACTCATCAAAATAGAGACTTCAAATACCACATAGTTTCAAATACATTCTGGGCTGGAGACCAAATATGTGCATTTTGAAGAAATTTCCATGTGATACTGATACTGCTGGTTCAGAAACCACTTTGAGAATACTGGCCTATGGCCTGTAATTTGGCTTTTTAACGGATTAGAGACCACTTCGTATAAAATTCATTCCTTCATATATTGAGGAAAAAACTTCGCACCAAATACAACTATCTATACAGGAAACCACGGATTGACAATCTTAGCCTTTCTCTCAGAAGCACAATAAGAAATATAAATTATGAAAAATCTCAAGGTGTACAGGTTTCTTATGCATAGGTATATCTGTTAAAATAGTAAGCAAGTAAGTACAGCAATTAATTTCACTTTAAAACCTAACCTGGCAAATATAAAAATATACACTCATAAAGAAAACTTGGTAAAAATTAAAATGCTATTTATGTGTATTTCAGAAAACAGGGATATTAATTGTCCATGAGTCATATGCCTGACAGCAGTACCCTCTCTCTCTCTCCTCTCTTTGTAACTCTTTGAAATAAATCAATAAATCTTTAAAAAAAAATAAGATGGCCTATCTCATACTAGAAGAAGTTTATGTGATTTAATAGCAAAGTGTCAAAACACTTAAAATTACCTAAAGTATGGCACTGTGAATGTGTAAAATTCTTCAAAGTCTGACTTACCTAATAACAATTCACCAGCTGTCTCTCTAGATGGCGCAACACTGATACATCTTCGATTTACTCTGTCAAAAATATTTAAAATTACTATGATTAAATATTTTTATCAATTTTAGAGATAGAAGCTTTATTTTATCCAGTGAATGATTTCAGAAAAGCAGACTACAGTTTCAATAGCATAAGATGCCAAAACTCACGTGACAATATTATGTCATTTTTAAACTTTCTAGTATGGAGGAAAGAAGATAAGAAACTTTTAGAAAAGGCCAATAATCCCTATAATCTGTATGTAAAATACAAAGACGCAGTTATTTAAAAGAGACTTTGGTGTAACTCTGACTTTCAAATAAATAAATAAATCTTTAAAAGAGACTTTAATATCTTATATTTTCCAGTATGTAAGTGAACACTATTTTATGCCACTGATACTTCACACACACACACAGTCTAGTATTCTAGGAAAAACAGGGGATTTAGAGTCAGTTCCTCTGCTCTTTAGATAAGGCACAAATCTTAACAACCACAACAGTAGTGATAACATTATCAATAATTAACATATTACTACTCAATACTGCTGTGATACTTTGGGTATTATTATTTTCTTCATTTAACAGGTGAGGAAACTGAGTCAGAAAGGCTAAGGAACTTGCTCAAGAGATGATACTAGTAAGAGGAGGAAACAATTTGAACTTCTATTCACTATACTATATTGCCTTGTGATGATACCACCAGCATCTCTGTTTACTTTGTAGTGCTGCTTAAAAAATCAACTATAAAAACATATGTATGCTAGTAAGTGCCAAGTATGATGACTGAAGTCCAATGAAGCCATACTATCAGAAATATCATTTCCTTTTGGATTTTGGTCATTCAATCTTGTTCTCTCTTAAGCCTTTCCTGTTTATGACTTTTCTTAAAACCACAGCACTGCCTAACATAAACAGTACATCATTACTACAATCAGCTATTGTATTCACAAAAGAGTAAAGGTCTGTAGATTCAAATTTACCTTATAGATTCACTTGCAGCTTTGTCTTTGACAGTAGATGAGAAAGAAGAATGCGTTTTGTCTTCAAATAGATAAGAGAGTGGTGGTTTGAGCACATCTATTGAAGAAAAAAGTGTCCATTATTATTATCTCGTGACCACAGCTATTTGCTCAATTTTTATAATGAGTAAAGAAGACACTATTACCTTCTGACTTTTGTCTATCCCTAAGGAGATACTTATTTGGAATAGTTAAGTAACACCTCTGTAAACGTCTCCGCTCTCGATTGGGTCCTTCTGTTGGATCCAACTGCCATGAGCCTGGATAGTAGATTGGGTCATACCAGACTGCTCTGCAAGCAAAAATGAAAAGGTATTTAAAGTGGCCATCCAAGGACTGATTTAAAAAAATCATTCTAGGGCCGGCGCCGCGGCTCACTAGGCTAATCCTCCTCCTAGCGGCGCCGGCACACCGGGTTCTAGTCCCGGTCGGGGCGCCGGATTCTGTCCCAGTTGCCCCTCTTCCAGGCCAGCCCTCTGCTGTGGCCCGGGAGTGCAGTGGAGGATGGCCCAGGTGCTTGGGCCCTGCACCCCATGGGAGACCAGGAAAAGCACCTGGCTCCTGGCTCCTGC